ATACTGGTAGCTCCACTGAAACCTGTCCCACATGAGAGACACTGCTGATATATGAAAATACCAGTGAGCTAGCCTCCAGTATCGTGCCAAAATACAAGCAATTACAGTACAGCAGATAAATATTGGTTGCAGATTCAAGAATTTTATGGGCACAAAGTGGAATGACACAGAAAGCATCAAAAGGAGATGGAAGGGATACACAGAGTTCTGTACCAAAAAAAAAATTGATCAGTAGTCCACCATTAAGAGGATTGTATATGAACAAGAGCCAATGGTATTAGAGCAAGATTTCAAAGCTGCACTGAAAGCATTAGTGCAAAGAAGACTACAGGAATTTACAGGATGCCAATCAAAATGTTTTAACAAATGAATACATTCTGTGTACACTCATTTGCTTATGGCAGGATGTTTGAAAGACAGCTATCTAGTCAGCTGACCAGAAGAGCTCCATAGTCATGTCCTTCTGAAGAAAGATGACCCAACAGAATGCAGTAATCATCACTATCCTTACTATCTCAACCGAGTACAGTTTTGCTGAAGATAATTCAACAAGAGTCACAGTAGTATGTTGACAGAACTGCCAGAAATTCAAACTAGATTAAGAGGGAAGATGTAGAATAAAAAATATCTTTACTCATGTCAGTTTGACCTTGACTGAAAGCAAGAATACCTTAGTTATGTTTACCTGTGATCATTGACTATGCAGACATTCAACTCTGTGGAGTCTAACAAATTATGGGTATCATTATGAAGAATGCAGCTTCAAAACACTTAATTGTGTTCATATAATACCTGTATATAGAGCAAGAGACAGTCATTTAACCAGAACAAGAAAATATTTACTGTATGCACTTGAGTGTAAACCAACCTGAATATCAGCCGAGGCACCTAATTGTACCACAAAACTACATTAAAAATGTGCTTTTAAAAACGGCTTATACATGAGTATATACGGTATACATGTTTTAAAATCAGGAAAAAATGTGCACCAGGTTTGTGTCTTCTCACCATGCCATAATAATTCATTCTAAATTCTGAGGAAATGACATGAACATAGAAGAACAAGACATTAGGCCTAGAGGAAAACTCACTAACAACCTGCAACATACACATGACACAATCTTGCTTACTGAAAGAGAAAAAGATTACAAAGACTTACTGAAAAATACATATGGATTACAGTTCATAAGGAAAATAACAATTCTCTCATCTGGGCTAATACGCAGCATTACTTTAAACAAGAAAAGATTAAAATTGCCAAGTATTTCATTTCACTTGGATCCACAATCAGTGCTCACGGTTGCAGCACTCAAGAACTCAAACGACACATTGCATTGGGCCTGTCTGCTCCGGAAAATCTCTTTATGATCAAAGGGGATTCTCTGAGGCTTAATCTATATGTGAACCCTGCAAAAGGATTTGGGGTTTCCACTGTCATCCATAGCTTTCTGCAAACCAAGTGTTCACAATTAAAACCTTTCCCTCCTTCAGATTTGGATTATATTATTTATAATCCTTGTATCATCCCTGCTGATTATGCTTCAGGGTTGTGAAAAGCCTTATTGTCAAACAGCATTATAAAGTCGATTATGGCAGATGTAGTTATGTTACAATGTAATATCATTTTATAATCTTTTGACCCATTTTAAAGTTGTTTCTGTTTTTAAAAAAAAAGTGAAGAGAAAATGCACACTGAATTAAACCTCTGGTGAATCCTCTCTGACCATAGATCAGGGATGTGAAAATCCTTGCTATTTTGCAGAATGCAGATGGAAAGTGGATTGCAAATGCAGTTAGGCTAAAATTTAGCACCTTATCCTTTGATCTTCCTTTTCATCCATTTTAAACTTTTTCTATTTTTTAGTATTTTCTGCTTTCTTTTCTATTGAGGTTTTTATCTGTTTTTATTATCATTGCTAGGTTTTTTGTTTTTGTTTTTTTAGTATTTCTCTGCATGTGAAATCCAGGATAGGTAACTCTAAATACTGTAGATAGTAACTGGATTGGTGGTTCCAGAGGATGTTTGGGGGTAGGGGGTAGAGGGAGCTAATGGTGATGAGTACAAGAATGAAGAAAATGCCCTAAAACTGAGTGTGGTGTTGATTGTACAACTCCCTCCACCACCCCCACCACCCCAAACACCATTTTATTGGGAGCTAATACTGATATCATGTCGTTCCATAGTGCAATTACATCAAGCAGTATTATATAATTGCTACCACAGTCAGTTGCAAAGCATTCTCTTTCTTCTTGAACTCCTTGACATCAGCTCCCCTTTGCCCCCTCCTCCACTGTACCCCCAGGAATCCTTATTCTAATTGTTGTCTCTACAGGTTCATCAATCCTGGGTTTCATATACAGATAGACAGAAAAACATAAAACAAAAATTCAAAAAGCTACTCATGATGACAAAATATATCAGAAATAAATGCCAATATGAAAAAAGTAAACAAATAGAAAATGTTGAAAACCAGATCAGGCCCCCTGCGTATCAGATGGTGGATCAAGTGACGTGGTTTTAACCATTTAAATCAGCTCTCCAGTACTCTCTATTTGGTAACTAGTTTATTATCACCCCTCCATTATGGATAGAAGGAAATCACCAGAAGCTTATTTCCTGTATAGAACTCCTAAATGAATCTTTGGAAATGTCAAGACTTTCTTTATCGTATTTTTTGAAGCCAGACAAAAAATGTCAGAGACAGTTCCTAATATTAGTGTTGTTTTCTTTTATAGTTTAGGAGCTCTGGTAACATAGTGGTTATGCATTGGACTGCTACCTGTAAGGTCAGCAGTTTGAAACCAGCCAGAGACAGGGCTTTCTACTCAATGAGTTCGTCTCAGAAACTCACAAGGGTAGTTCTACCCTGCCCTGCAGGGTCGCTGTGAGTTGGCATTGACTCAGTGACAGTGAGTTTGAGCTCTTTCACAGTTACCATTGCCGTGTGTGCTGAGACTGGAGGTGCCCCAGTCAAATAGTGCACACTGATTGTCACTATACTGCTCCCTTTGACTCTGGAAAAATACTGCTTATATGACCTTTGAGGGACCACAGTAAGATCTTTAAAGTCCACAATCTTCTTTCGAGCGTTTTCAGTCCTGGCCTCAGTCCACACCTTGCCTTCTTTGCCTTATCCTGGTGCTCCTCAGTACCCAGAAGTTATTGCTGGAAAGTCTTCTAATTAAAATATTCCTGTCTGCTTTGTAATCTCCATGGCACCCAAGCAGTAACTATTCAGTTTGATTAGCCATTCCAGAAACTCAGCTTTGTAAAGAGCTTATTATCTTTACTTGTTAATGACTCTGGTGTTATACCAAACAGAATGGAAAGCAACCAATGGACATGAAATCCTTAAGCCTTGTTGCACAGCAAGTTGGGTATGTCAGAGTCCCTGATTAAATCAGGGCGGTTGACATCTATCTCTTTTTCTAATTGTCTGTAAAGTGAGGCATCTGTACCATTCCATACTCTGGATACTTCTGAGCTCCTACTCATAAAATAAAACAAGTGAAAATAAAAATACACATCATTTCTGTCATTATATATTAAGTGTTAAACGATCTTCATAGGAAAGATTTATTATTATTAGATGAATAACAAATAATTATTTTAGACAACCTTGAAATATTATAATATGATCCATGCTATTTAGATTGATAAAAATTTTGCTCGTTATTGCCTTGTCAAAACACTTTAACATAAAAATTATTGTTTGATAGTTTTATTTTATATGGAAGAGTAATGAGAACATCATTGTTTTGTGTTTTTCTAGGTACAGCTACTTGTCTCTATAAGTGGCTTCTTTCAGATCCAATCATCCAGTTGTGCTCTTAAGTGCATGTTGAAAGATTGAATCTTTTATATTGTCTAGACCAGGGGTGGGTAACCTTTTTTTTCCAAGGGCCATTTTTATATTTATAACATCATTTATGGTCCATACTGGTCAAACATTTAATTAACCCACCACTAAAGTGATGACCAGAGCTGCTTCTCTTTGGTGAGGCCTTTGATGTTAGGTGCATGGTATTGATTTCATAATCCATCTATGGCCTGACAGCCCCACCCTAGGTCTAGATTATGGTAAGCAAAAATCTGTTAATTTTTTTCTGTCTATTTTATTGTTTTTTCTGTTCAGAATAAAATTTGAGGTGTTATATTTGCCTTCATTTAAATCTTTAATCAAAAATATCAATGTGTTATAAATCAGTTGTAATTAGGTAATGCTGAACCAGAAAACCTACCTATTGTTTAAAGTTGATTACAGCTATGGCAGCCTCATGTGTTACAGATAGAACTGCCCCATGGTGTTTTCTTACAAGAGAAAGATTTCATCCTGTAAAGATCTGCAGTCTCAGAAGCCCCAGGAATAGTTCTACTCTGTCCTATAGGATCATTGTAAATCAGAATTAACTCAATAGCAATGGGTTTAATTATTACAGAATCACATCACCAGGCTTTTCATCCACAGTGCCACTGAATAATTATAGAAATATGTTTGTACACATTTTGTTGGAATAGACCTTAGCCTCATATTTTAGGTTTGGCTAAAATGTAACTGTAATCATTCCAAGAAGGTTAGGATAAGGACTTATGACAAATTTCATAGGACTACACACATACACACACAAAAGATATGTGTAAAAAGTGGTTAGATCTGAAGTTTAATTAATTGTATAATGTCAAAGTTGAGTTAATTGTATAATATCAGAGCTAGGTTCCCAGTTTTAATTACTTAATGTAGTTATATAAAATGTTACCAGTGTGTGAGCTTGCTGAAGGGTAAGCAGAATATTCTGTATTATTTTTGAAACTTCTAGTGTATCTGAAATTAATTTTTTTAAAGATACTTTGACCCTGGATATTCCTTTAGTTCAGAATATTTAGGTTCCAGACATTTGTACATAAGCTATATTATAGTAACTTATTCCCTCAAAAATATTATATTTCATTAGTAATAACCAAATGTTACTCTTTTGTGTGTTTCCTGCTTGTTTTATAGATCAGAACAAACAACACATTCAGATTTATTGGGGCAGCATATCACTACAGCGAAAGAACAAGATCGTTCTCTCAACAAAGAGGTACCTACGCACTTTAAACTTTTTCCAGATAAAATGGAATACCACAGGATGAAAGTTAATAACATACTTACCTGGCAGGGGAGACACCATGATCAGGAAGGTAGTTTTCCCAGGGCGAGGCTCACCCATTGCACTCCGAGTGTGCTGACCCCTGCGATTTCCCCAAATGTGGGAAACTCGACTGCATAATTTGTGGTAGTGGGGGACTGCGTTCGCACTATCCCCTAAAGAAAGAAAAAAAAAAAGTTAACTTCTCCCTTCAAAATAATTTTTAGGATATAATCAAGACATCATATCATTCAATAGTTCAATCCTATCAAGTAGTGTACAATCGCTACCACACTCATTTTAAAAATATTTTCTTCCTTCTTATACTCCTTGATATCGGCCCCTTTCCTGCAACCCTTATTCTACCTACTCTGTAGATTCACTCAATTTTAATTCACATACTAATTCACATACTGAAAAACATAGGGAGTCAAGAATGCTACCAACAAGAACAAGCAGCAATGTGGGGAAAAAACCAAAATATTAAAAATCAGATCAAGCTCAGAGTATATCCAAAGAAAGATCAAATGACAATGTTTTAACCATTCAGGTCAGATTTATCATTTTAATCTACTATAATTGTTTCTCCAATACTTTCTGTCTGATAACCTGTTTATTCCTATCCCTCATTTATGGTCAGAGGGGAATCACTGGAGGCTTATTACATGAGTAGATTCTTCTAATATATTTTTGGCTCCCACTGTTATCCATAGCCTTCTGCAAACCAGAATTTCATAATTTAAGTTTTGATTTGATACCATTCCCTCTTTCAGATTTAGATCATCTTTTCCACTCATTGGATCACAGATGTTGGTGTGCTTCTTCCATGTGGGCTTAGTTGACATTCCATTTAGATGGCTGCTTGTTTGAAAACATGCCTTTAAGACACCCATTGCTATTCTTTCTGCTAGCCAGGCACCATCCAATTCCTGTACCACACTTTGCTATAGCACTCACATCTTCCATGTTTACTTCATGAGGGTGTGTATAGAGCAGGGCCATGTCATAAGAAATAATTGTTCTTATATTGAAGCTAAGATTAAGTGCAATCCCAAAATCTGTTCCTAAATCTGTTTTCCGTCTGTCTCTAGATCATCTTAGAGCAGTGGTTCTCACGACCCTTTAATTCAGTTCTTCATGTTGTGATGACCCCCAACCATAAAATTATTTTCGCTGCTACTTCATAACTTCAATTATATTTTGCTACTTTTATGAATCGGGTGACCCCTTTGACAGTGTGGTTCGTCCCCCAAAGGGGTCATGACCCACAGGTTGAGAACCGCTGCCTTAGAGACTTCTTGGTGATTTTATGGTAGAGCATCCTATCGATCATCTCTCTGGATCATAAAGTCCTTCTGTTTATAGTGTCATTGATTGAGCCCATCCCAATGTATTTAAAACACAATTGAGAAAGGAAGATTGAACAACCAAATACAAATCATTGTACATGGATTATTGACTTTCACAGATTAAATCCCTACATGACTGTTTATACAACTAATGGGAACTAGTGGTCAAGTAAAGCTTACTATGATATCCACTGACAATGTCAGACACAGGTCTGCTGGATTAATACATATCTTAATAATCAAGTAGGCCACTGAAGTAGTTAAGTAAATGTTAGCTTACCTGCCAACACATCTGTAGCCTTAATATTGCTGTCCTCCGCTGCTTCACCCTCCTTGTGATTTTGGCTTTAAGTCCTTGAGTCACAGTAGAGTTTGTTTGAGGTAGAGCCCAATTCACCTGATGGGGTTTCCATATCACATCCCTCCGGTATGGTTTTTGTAATATGTTTTTGTGTTGGTTTGGGTAGGCTAGAGCAACAAATCCACAGAAACTCATATGTATATATGAAAGAGTTTTATATAAAGGGTAAGTGTACATTACAAAAGCATCCCAACCCAGTGGTGTCCAAGCCCATAAGTCCAACATTAACCCTTATGTCCAACATCAATCTACAAAGTCCTCAATCTCACAAAACACACGCAATCACGCTGACTGTAGGAAGAAAGCTGAATCAGTGAGCTTGTAAGCCTCTCAGCACTGGCAGGTGTCTCCACACAGCTGCTCTAGCACCCAGGGCTGCATCAGGGTAGATCCATGTCACTTCTCAGGGATGTCTCACATTAAGTGAGCCTTGCCAGCTGAAGCAAGGAACTGGCTAAGGCAGCTGCACCTTGGTCCAACCATCAGAGAGCAAAAGACCAGAGGAGAAAAAAAAAAGATGAGGCTCACCAAGCCATTTATCTCTCCACCCTTCAGTTAATCCCACATGTGTTTATTGGCCAGATTGGCATAAGAAATCTTAACCATCTCAGTTTTGTTCCTCCAAGATCCAGGGTTCAATGTCCCAGTATTCTATGGCCCGTGGCCTGGTTCCAAGGCGGTACACAGAAACTCAGACCAGTGTGCCCTATTAGCAGCCTCGTATCAGACATTCTCTCCTCTTGGGTTCTGTAAAAATATTGTTAGTCATTTTTTTTACACTAAAAGGTTGGGCTTCTTCCTTTTTCTACCAACAGAAATATCCTTGTCTTCTCCAAGATGTGTATGCTCCCCTTCCAGCCTCTCGATTAGATTTTCCTGTCAGCATCACATCACTCTGGTAGGAATGGATGCTGGTTTGGGGGGACCTAATCACATTTTTGCCTGGCAGTTACTAAATGATCATCTTCCTTTCCGCTACTCCTAAAAATCGGGCCCCAGCTGAAGGGAGAACTCCTCTTTCAAAGTAGTTTTCAAGATATGCATATAGAAAGGGTTAGGCATGGTTCATGGGCACTGGTATCAGAGAGCCTGACTAGTGCAGGATTTTGCCTTCATCAGGGTGTTTATCCTACTAACAATGGGCTCCTACAGTATTTGCCCTTTTGTGATTGACTAACTTCACTCATCAAAATGCTTCCCAGATCCACCCATATCATGAGGCGTTTCCTGGTTCTGTCACTGTGTTTTAGCGATGAAGAGTATTCCATTGTGTGAATATGCCGAAGTTTTTTATCCATTCTCCTAATGATGGGAATTTGGACTGTTTCCAACTTTGTGGTGTTGTAAATTGTGCTGCAGCGAATATGGGAGAGCATACATCTGTTTGTGGTCAGTCTCATTTCTTTGGATTGTATGCCCAGCAAAGTTATTATTTGATCATATGGTATGTCTATTGCCAGCTATTTTAGGAATCGCCATATCACTTTCCACAGTGGTTGTACATATTTACAAGCCCACCAGAAGCGGATGAGCGTTTCAATCTCTCCACACCCTCTCCAGCACTTATTTTTATCTGTGTTTTTTTTTAATTGGGCTATGATTGTTGGTGTTAGATGGTATCTCATTGCTGTTTTGACTTGCTTTTCCTGGATGGCTAGTGAAGGGGAGAGCATTTCCTCATGTGCTTGATATCCATTCTGGTGTCATCCTTTGCGAATTGTCTATATTCAGGTCCTTTGCCCAACTTTTAAGATAGTTATTTGTTTTCTTGTGGTGTTGCAGAATTTTGTAAGTTTTAGTAACTAGTTCTTTGTCTGTTTTGTCATTGCTAAATATCGTTTCCCAGTTTGTGGGCTTTCATTTTGCCCTTTTGATGAAATATTTTGATGTATAGAAGTGTTTCATTTTAAGACATCTATTTTATCTTCTACTGTGTGTGCTTCTTTGTTATATTTGATAGTGCATGTATTCCCTGCACTAGGCCCTTAGGTTTAACCCAGTATTCTCATTGATAATCCTAATAGCTTTGCGTTTCACATTTAGGTATTTGATCCACTTTGAGTTTTTTTTTTTGAGTTTGTTTTTTAATGCATGGGTTGACCTATGAATCCTGTTTCATTCTTCTACAGATGGATATCAAGTTTTGCAGCATAATTTTTTCCATATGTGTATTTGGTGCTTTACATTGCCATCTGATAACTTCTTTTTGCTATGTCCTAAAGGTTTTGGTATGTTATATTCTCATTCTCAATTGTTTCAAGGATTTTTAAAAGATCATTCTTTATTTGATTCAGTTGTTCTTAAGTAGTTTGTTCAGTTTCTATGCAATTGATTTTTTATCCTTTTTCTTTCTATTGTTGAGTTCTAGTTTTATAGTGTTGTGGCCTAATAAAATGAGTTATAGAATCTCAGTGTTTTCAAATTGATTACAAGTTGTTTCCTGAACTAAAATGTGGGTTATTCTGGAGAATGTATGTGCTGGAAAAGAATTTATACTGTGCTGCTCTTGGGTTGAGTTCTCTGTATATGTCTAGGAGGATGAGTTGTTTGCATTGTTTAGTGTTTTTCTGTACTTATTGAGTTCCTTTCCAATGATCTGTCTTTCTTTTAGAGTGGTGTAGTGAAGTCTTCTTTTATTTCTGTGTTGCTTTGAGTACTGTTTGCATCATATTGACTTCTTGGAGTTTTGGATTTGTATATTGCTCTCAAGTTTGCCTGCTGTTGTTGATTCTTTGTCCAAAATGTTCTTATTAGTATTTTTTATGATGGTCTTTTTTTTACAAATTCTTTTAACTTTCGTCCTCTATAAATACCCTTTTTTTCCTTCTAATGTGAAAAATAATTTTGCTGGCTATAAGATTCTTGACAGTTTTTGTTTGTTTGTTTTTCAGGATTTTATGTGTCACTCTACTTTCTTTTTGCCTGTTTGGTTTTTGCTGAGAAGTCTGAACTTATTATCACCAGTCTTTATAGGTGACTATTCTTTTCTCCCTAGCTGCTCTCAGGATTTTCTCCTTTCTTTGCTATTGGATGGTTTGACTCACATGTGTCATGGTGTTTGTTTTATCTTGTGGGTCTATCATGTTTGGGGTTCGCTCAGCTTCTTGAGCTAACTGTAAGATCAGTAGTTCAAAACCTTTACCAGTCAGTCCAGGGGAGAAAGATGAGTCATAATATTCCCATAAAAAGTTTCTTGCTCAGAAACTCAGAGGGACAGCTCTTCACTGTCCTGTAGGGTTACT